GAAGGAAGGAAGGAAGGAAGGAAGGAAGGAAGGAAGGAAGGAAGATTGTCAAACAAATTTACATTGCACGTTGTCACACCAGCCCCACTAGAGGGCATTTTCTGCATTAAATCAAAAGCACAATTTCTGCATCCATCAATTGGTTAACAAGCATTAAAAAAAATAGTGCTTGAAGGGGGGGGGGAGAGGGAAGGTATTTTTAGAGTCCAGATCTCTATATTTGCTCCCTCCCAAACTCTCAGAACAGAGGCAGCCACATGGTGCTATTTATGGGAGGAAGGATAGTAGCTGTTTTCAGGCAAATCGTAACTGGAGGGAGACTGAAATCTTCGTAGACTTGACAATGAGCAGCCGAGGCTCAGCCTTGCATATGAATTAGAGGCTTCGGCAAAGATGTAGTTTCTGCTTAGGTAGTCTCAGGTATATTTTTAAGAAGGAGGAACACATGCCACCAGTGATTATAAAACGGTAGCAACATATCTGCCGGGGCATCTTGTTATTACCGACGAATTTGCATTTGAGAAAGAATTCATAGGACCGTGCAGTCCTTCAGATTTTATTTCCAAGAGACATTTCAGAATGAATGTGTGAATGCTTGTAACACTTATATACAACTCTTCACAACTGCCTCCTTGTTTTCCAAGGTCATGTGGCAGCTGCAAACGGCAAGAAGGTAGCCCTAGGAAAAGAGGTAGCTGCTTTAAAGAGTTGTAGATGCCACGACATTTGCTCTGGCATTCTCTAAAGCACCTTTCTGGATAGGACTTGCTATTTGTTTTTCTTTGTTGGGTGTATATTCTGCACTTTGTTCAAAAGCTAAAGGCAATGAAATAGCTTTTTTTTAAAAAAGAAAAAGAAAAGCCTTATAGGTTATAGCCTTATAGCTTCCGTGACTGAGGGTGGACTTCAACTAGGATCTCCCAGTAGCTCCTGAATGCGACACAGCCCTAATAATTAATTTCTAATTTAGCCGGAATTGCTGGTTACAAACAGAAGGAGGAGGGAGTGGGGGGTAGAGTTGCAATGGAAATCACTACCTCAGCTGTTATGGAAAAATTGTCAAGGAAGCAGTTTTAATTTTTGCATAATGGGAATATTCATGAACATCCTGAAATAACTACTAATCACAGATGTCTATGAGCTGGTTGAAAATGTTGAGGAAACTAGAGTATACACCCCTTTTAGGACTTTCAAGATCCAAGATCTAGACACACATACACACACACCCCTAGTAAGTAAGACCACACCTAGAGTACTGCATTCAATTTTGGTCACCACATTATAAAAAAGATGTTGATACTCTAGAAAAAGTACAGAGAAGAGCAACCAGGATGATGAGGGGACTGGAGACTAAAACATATGAGGAACGGTTGCAGGAATTGGGCTTGGCTAGTCTAGTGAAGAGAAGGACCAGGGGAGACATGATAGCAGTCTTCCAATATTTGAGGGGCTGCCACAGGGAGGAAGGGGTCAAGCTATTTTCTAAAGTGCCTGTAGGCCAGACAAGGAATAATGGATGGAAACTGAACGTGGAGAGATTTAACCTGGAAAATAAGGAGAAACTTTCTGACAGTGAGAACAATCAACCAATGGAACAGCTTGCCCTCGGAAGTTGTGGGAGTGCCATCACTTCAGACCTTCAAGAAGAGATTGGACTGCCATTTGTCAGAAATGGTGTAGGGTCTCCCGCTTGGGCGGGGGGTTGGACTAGATGATCTGTAAGGTCCCTTCCAACTCTGATTATCTCTTAATATTACACAAGGAGTGGGTCCCAAAGGTGCTTTTTCAAGAGACAATTGGACTTTCTAGTTTTTCTTTGAAGACATTTCACTTCTCCTCCAAGAAGTTTCTTCAGCTCTGACTGGATGGTGGGGAATGGAAGGATTTATACTCCTTGCAGACAGCTGGACATTTGCATTCTTTTAGCCAGTCGTTAAGATCACCTGGTGCTTCTTAGATGAGAAGCAAAACATCTTCAAAGAAAAACCAGAAAGTCCAGTTGCCTCTTGAAAAAGCACCTTTAGGACAATCATGGATGACTGAGAATCTCCATAGACAAGGAGTGGGTGTTGCCCCAAGGTCCTCCCTCAAATTGCTAGCAAATTGTAGTGTATTATGAGGTGGAATAGATGATTAAAGACAGTCTAAATGGAATCTAATCTACACTAATCTCATTTGCATCCTTAACCCATTCATTCCACCCTGTATTGTTTAATCATCTGTTGTGATGCAGTGGTTAGAAGGCAATATTGCAGGCCAACTCTGCATTTCCACTATTAGGAGTTTGATCCTGACCAGCTCAAGGTTGACTCAGCCTTCCATCCTTCCGAGGTTGGTAAAATGAGGACCCAGGTTGTTGGGGGCCGTAGGCTGACTCTTTAATCCGCTCAGGGAGGGCTGTAAAGCACTGTAAAGTGGTATGTAAGTCTAAGTGCTATTGCTATTGGACAGCACTCCATCCAAGAAAGAGACACAAAGAGGCTTCATGTCCGTTCGAAAGAAAATTGGATCACATCTTTTTCATACCCAGTTTATACATTACTGGTGTTTCCATGAATTGATATCCATTTGGTTTCAGTCTCATGTAAATAACAGGCTTGTATTTTGGATCTGATATCTTAAAGGTGCTTCAGGGCATGCAGTAGCATCTGCCCAGCCTTCTTAAAATGCTCATGTTGTCAACTCATAAAATATTTCTATGGTCTTTTTAGAGTTGCCAACAGAAAGGGAGGGGGCGCAGTGGGCAGCTTGCATTCCATCAATAGTTTTCAAAGATAGTAACTAGGTGACTGGATTTTCTGCTGTGCAAAATTCTAACTGGAGAGCATGATTGATGACTCTTGGCTATGGATGTGTCCCATTGGAGAATATAAATTATGACACACCCAGGGAGTGGGGAAAAACCAGGGTCAAGGGTGACAATGAATGATGTGTCTCAGAGTTGGCTACACCCAGGCAGTGCTGGCATGTTTACTCCTAATAAATCTTTAAGTTTTGGAAGTTCGGCTTGAGAGTTATGATTTAAATGGGGATAACTACTGGAGCCCTGACACGGGTCCTTTCCAAAGATTGCAAAGACGCAGGTGTTTTAAGGCAGGTGTCATATATATATGTTCCTATGTGTTTCATGGCTCAGTTCCAAAGGGCTGCACTGCCATAGTAAATTCACTTAATAATAGCTTCAGCAAATCCAGCAGGTTTCCATGGCATCATATAAAGCCACTACCAGTCACTGTCAAGAAGGTGTGTTGCTCGTGTGAGAATAGTCCACGATGTGTCCATCCCACATGATCTGAACTGGGTGGCCTTTTCTCCCCAGGGAAGAAGCCACT